GTTGATATTTTTCATTATAATAATTAATTTAAAAATCCGCCATAAGGTACCTCTTTGTCAATTATGGTCACAAATAGTGAGTTATAGCATTTGGTGCTTTACCAAATATGGCTCATTTGTACATGTACAGTATATTATGTTTGTATGTTGTGTAGAAATTTTAGTTAAAATGACAAGGAGAGAATTCTCCATTATAATATTTTTTGATGCTGTGTATCTACTTTGAGCTGATTCTAGTCTTTATGAACTTTTTAATTTACTCGAAATTTGGGTCAAAGATCCTGACTATAATGAGCACAGGAATTTTGGCCAAATTTAATCAAAAATGAAAAGGAGAGATATCTCCATTTTTACAATGCTTTCTAATACGTATACATGTTCTTATGCTGTGTAGAAAGTGTAAGCTGATTCCGATCAAAATTGAATTTTTTATGACTTTTAAAAGTTGCTAAAAAAGGCAGGGCACTATAATGCAGCAGCTCACAAAGCTCATGCTGTTTAGCTCACTTAACATATGCTTTGTGGGAAAACCTGAGTCAAGTGTTAGAAGGTACATGTTGTACATGTATGACTTAAATGCATAATTTATTTTAATTTATTTTAAATAATTTACTTATTATTAATATTCAACTACAATTGTTTGTTTCTATTTTAATATGCGCACAAGTTACGTTTTAATGCCAGACCCTCCCTCATTATTTAAAGTACTCACGTTGACTTGAGAATATTAATGAGTAGGTGGGGCATAGCTACAAGGACGTGGACAACGAACAAAAATTTAAAAAGTTATAAATCATTAGATTAAACGCACTTTCATGTGATCCAGGTGCTTGAAATCATAAAAATGAAGCATACAGGACTGATACTAAAATAAAATGGAGAGAAAATAATTAAGAAAAGCTTTTAAAAACCTACACTGACTTCTTGAGGTCCATTATTTAATTTTTCTAATTAACGTGCACCTGTCTGTGTTGGTGGTAAAAATGTAAGTAAAATGGCAGCTTTTGGAGAGATACAGGCTGAACAATAAAATTCTCTTTTATCATACTCATTCTCACTGTGAGGACCAGCTTCAGCTTTGATTTATCTTTTTTGTAAGCTCATTGGTTGTTCTTTTGTTTTTGTTCATGTAATTCTGTGCACTTTAAGCTTTAAAACTAAGTAACGGAATTTTATGGTTCAAATATATAATTATTGTGATCATTTCATTATTAAGCTGTTAATCTACAAAAGGAAGACGTGTCTTACAACTACTCAGTAAGTGATATTAATAATAATTGGAGGTACATTGTATGATGTATATATTCATATCTTTCTGTGAATGACGTTTCTAATTTATAATGATATTCATTGGGATACCGTAAATGGAAAATTTTTCAGGCTGCCATTATGGAGGTATACTATCACTCGCTACAATGGACCGACAGGCTAAAAACTGTCAATTCTACTTCTCCTCGTGACACCAGTGACTCCAAACAGTTGCAGACCTATGAAAAGAATGCTACAAGTTGCAATTTTTCACTTTTTGAGGTTATAACTGCTTGCTCTTAGTTACAAAATGGCAGAAAGTGTATCGAGCTCCATTGAAAACAGTGCAGCAATACCTCCACAATGGCGGCCTGAAAAATTTTTCATTTACGGTATCGCAATGAATATCATTATAAATCAGAAACGTCATTTACAGGAAAGATATAAATATGTAATTCTGGAGCCAATTAGTGTAAAAAATGCTCATAACTCAAAAAGTTTAAGTTGAAATTAGCTCAAACTTTCTAAAGAGCACAAGGACATCAATATGTATCAGAAAATGCAATAAAAATTTGGGGTGATTTCGGAGCCATTTTTTGGAAAAAACCATGGGCTAAAAATTTAAAAAAACAAGATGAAGTAGGATTCCGAA